TATATCTCTTGAAATTTTGGCTATCTCTCCAAAGCCTTTAATTAACAAAATTATCAAACAAATGCATATAAAAAAATGAGTAAACAGAAATGTTAATCAGAAAGCAAAAATATTTCTTTTTTGTCTGTGCTCTGATCTTAATATTTACCCTATTCTTTAAAAATAGTTTTGTCTTTCAATCATTATAATATCTACATAATATATTTTTATCATTGTTGTTATTATTATTCCTCTTCCATTAGGAGCAATCAATTTTCAGAGCAAATGTAGGAGCCGAAGAGGAAGTCACTTTACCTTTAATTTTAAATTATTTTACTAGAAAAAGAAACCTAACCCATCACCAAAGTGTGACAGTTTTCTCGATTTTGATCAGCTGAGCATATTATGTTGCACAATCTCAATTTCATAAAGTACAACAAGAAGCAAAATATTTTCCCTAGCCCTCTGTGGACAAGGAGAATATCTTAAAAGAAACATTTCTAAAAGGACATCATGCTTCCATTTTTGTTATTTACATTTTAATTTGCTTCTAAACATTCAATAATGGGATAAATTAGAAGGAAGCAAACAATGAAACAAAGCAGGCATGAAATGGAGCATGTACATTCTAATTCTTTCTGGGGCTAACAAAAGAATGTCCAGTAATAATAATATTAAACAGAAAGTTTCACAAATCAGAAAGTATTATATCAAAATATCTTCTTTCTTCTACCACAACTGGAGAATAAGAACATACAGTGAAGTCCCCCAGCATTTATCTAGATTATGACATTATCCACTCATTGATGAGCCCTTAAAAACCATGCAATTTTCTTTCTAGTAACATTCTAGGGCCTAAAACTTAAATCTAGAAGAATATAAAAGACCAAACTAGTATTTTAAATGTTAAAGGAAGCATTGGCCTTTATTTTAAGAATGTTTCTGAAATTTCATTGAAGAAAGTTAATCCATAAATTTAACAATACAAGCAAAATATAATCCTCAATATTCTTCACTGTGCCTGAATTAAATGCGGTAAAGATTGGCAATTCATAGACAAGCCTGTCCAATTTTATATTAGCTATTTGGAAAATTGATACTTAAAAAGTGAGCCAAGCAGTCAATCTATGGAATTACTGTATATAATACAAAGACTATGAATACATATTATCAAAGGATGAAAAGTAATTGAATAAATGATAAAAATAATTTCTGCAATACTTTCACAATGTGTATAATTCTGTGCTACAACACAATAGATACTTTGATATATATAAAAGATAATAGAGTTATTAGTATAGAAATGTTGTCGGTATGACATAGCAATCCATATAAATAACATATATAAATGCATATAAATACCAGATAAAAAAAAAAGTGAAATATTTGAGTTTTTAAAAGTTAGGGAAAATATTCAGGCATTTTGGATTTGTTTTCCAAAATTAAGAAGTTTAATTTCCACTTTTTAAATACAACCCAGATTTGAAAATGTTGGATGAATAGAATATAATAGAATAGAACAGAACAGAACAGAATAGAATAAAATAGAATAGAATAGAATGGAACAAGAGCACACTGAAGATTGTAAAGTTTTGTGCACCACCTGTTTGTCCTATTGTACATTAGATTTTTGGGGGTAAGGAGGTGAGTATATTTGTTTGTTTGTGTGTGCAAGATAATAGATAAATTATAGAAAATATTATTTTATTACTACATTGTTACAGTATAGGTATAAGCCATCCAATTCTGTTTTCAAAAAGGTACAATTGCATGGGATCATCTACAGTTCTTGTAGTAATGCAGGGAAGATTCAAAATACTCCTTATTTGTCTGTTGCAATTTCTCTGTTCTCAAAGTTATTTTCAAAGGAAACACCCAGACTCAGACCTACAGCACAGCGATGCTGAAATCCTAAACCATAAAATGCTAAACAGGGTAGAAGTTTGTTTAAATTCTTAATAAATGATTACTGAGACTAATTTAATACAAATTGGATAAAATGGACAAAAATGATATTTATTCTCATTTATGGTCAGACTTGCAAAATGAAAGGTTCTGCAATTTCAAAGATGAGCCAAAATAACAATTCATAATGTTAAAATGTTTATATTATTTATCTTTCTGGATCAAAGGTAATCTCAACCTTAGCCATAATGTTCTCACTCCAAATTGGAAACAAACAAAAAGCTTTATATCATTTCCTTTCATCTTCATGTACCTTAATATTAACTGTTTAGTTAATCATCATTCTCCATTATACTTGAACTAATAAGCTACCATTACAATCCTTCTCTCTTGGACTCTTTGGCTCAAAGACATTACACCCTAAGAATCTCATCCATAATTCAGACATTGAGGGGGAAATGCACAATTGGTCAATGGAATTTGAGAGTACATATGTATAATGCTATCTTTTCCCAGTATATCATACCTTATTGGATCACTATTTGTTAGATCTTAATTTGGTCCTAGTAACTTGTCACCTATGTGATCAAAAAGTTACATCATGAGCTTTTTGTTTTCCCAGCAATATTTTATAGATATAGATATAAACACAATTTACTCTTGTCATTGACTGAATTATAAATTATAAAATAGATTTGCTCCATAGTGATATCTCTGATTTTATTTCAGAATAAGAGAGAAATAGCCATAGTGTTTTGTAAGTGTAAAGTATAAGTTAATTAATCATTAGTGCACCATTGAAGGATCTGAAGAACCAGCCTGGGAACAGACAGTCCAGGTGGGAAAATCTATGCAGTCAGTGAGAATCAACACCATTGTGATTGATAAATTATCTCTCTCTCTCTCCCTCTCCCTTTCTCTCCCTCTCTCCCTCTCTCTCTGTCTCTCTCTGACAGACAGAGACAGAGAGACAGAGACAGACAGAGACAGAGACAGAGACAGACAGACAGACAGAGAGAGAGAGAGAGAGAGAAAGTGAGAATCGGCATCATTATGATTGATAAATTGTGTATGTGTGTATATCTATATAATATTCACATACATACATACATGCTGTTTATCAATCACAATGGTTTTGACTTTCAGTGATTAATATCTCTGTCTATCTATCTATCTATCTATCTATCTATCTATCTATCTATCTATCTATCTATCTATCATCGAAAAGGAAAGTGTCAGGGTTCCAAGTAACACACCCAATGGAATAAAAACTCCAATCTTGACTCACTTCACTGTGGCAGCCCTGAAAGTGCCGAGCGGGTGTGTGTGAAATAGTTCCAGGGCTGGTAGAAAGAGGAAATGAAAGAAAAAAAGAAAAGAAAAGAAAAAAAGAAAAGAAAACAAAGAAAACAAAGAAAAAAAACTTCATAGCCCTTGTTCAGCATATGCAGAAATAATCTTAAAATGATGAAATTACTTGGAAGTAATGTGTATCTGAACAGAACGATACCCTTACCATTTGCCACCTCATTCTTTCTTGGGTAGCATTGAAGTGTAATGAGTTGTGCAGTTCTTCAAAAGTTCCCACTGCCATGAGGCATCTAAACCAAATGAGTGGGGAGTGACAGAGGGAGAAAGGGAGGGAGGGAGGGAGGGAGAGGGAGAGAGAGTCCAATTAATAATTGGATGGAAGATAACCAGAGAAAACCAGAGCTCGGCAGTTAATAAACTTCTCAGAAGAAAATAGGAAAGCAGCCTGTACTATATCCAAGACAAATGCATGGACTTGTCCATGAAGTTACAAAAAACCAAATTGTATTATAAAAAAATTGTGTATTTGAGAAAATGTTCCCTGCTAATATTATTTTAAATAAATGGGCTGTGTATTATTTTATTTATTTATTAATCACATTTCTCTGGCTGCCCATCTCGCACAAAGCAAAACTGGGCAGTGGCGTATAGCAATTGACTAAAACAATGAGATAATAAAAACAATCATTAAGAAAGGATAAACATTTTATACATTATAATAATACATTATAAAAAGTAAATATTAAAATAAGAATATTATCAGAAATTATGCCACCAGTTAAGAGTTTTTCTTCAACATAGCATTGGCAGAATATAAGCATTTAGAACTGAAAACATCTGACATAAAACAACTGTTCTCACAATTGCTTTTAGAACACTGGGCACAGCATTTGGCCTAAGGAAAACCACATTGTTGAACATGAAGCAAACTAATACTCCTATAAAGTTGGATACCAATAATATGTCCGATTTTTTATTCCTAATATCAGAATCTAGGAGATTTGTAATGTTTTATCATCTATTAGCCATGGTGGCACAGTAGTTAGAATGCAGTACTGCAGGCTACTTCTGCTGATTACTGGCTGCCAGCAATTCAGCAGTTTGAGTCTCACTGGCTCAAGGTTGATTCATTTTTCCATCCTTCCGAGTTAGTAAAATGAGGATCCAGAATGTTGGGGCAATATCAGAGGTGGCATTCAGCAGGTTCTGACCAGTTCTGGAGAACCGGTAGCAGAAATTTTGAGTGGTTAGGAGAACTGGCAAATACCACCTCTAACTGGCCCTGCCCCCATCTATTATTTGCTTTCTGAGTTCCAGCTGATTGACTAGGTCTCCTTTTGTTGCCCTGCACAGGAGAAAGGAGCTGGAAAGCAGGTTTGTGGGGAGGGGAGGGAAAGGGATTTTACAATAACCTTCCCCCCAGGAGTGGGGAGGGAATGGAGATTTTACAGTATCCTTCCCCTTCCATGCCCACAAGCCACGCCCACAGAACCAGTAGTAAAAAATAAATATTATGCTGTAAATCATAAGTATAAATGCTATTGCTATTAGGTATCTAATAATACCAGCTTTTTCATAATAAATGATGGAAATTAAAGTTTAGGACCAAAGTTTAGCTTTTTGGTATTCAAAGAAATAACAAAGACAAACTTGCATTTGGCTTTTCTTTCCCATTGTAAAAATTGTGTACTAAAAAAAATCTAGCTCATTAAGGTAGCAGGGAGAAACTGCAACAATAACCTACATCTTTTTTCTTTGATATTTTAAAATAATTCCTAGCTGTCTATGTTGTTTTTATTTTTCAGTAAATGAAGGAGGGATCAAACAGGCATCAAATTTGTGTCCAGATCCTGGAGAACCTGAGAATGGAAAACGAATAGGCTCAGACTTTAGGTAATATTTACTAACTAAAACTTCACATGCGTTAGCAGGGGTGAATTGACTTAGGGATTCTCTAAGTTGAAGTCCACAAGTCATAAAGGGGTCATAGATGCCCACTCCTGCATTAGAGTGTTACCTTTAAAATTAGTCTGATTTATTCCACTCCAAAGATGAATTTGAACATGATCATGAATGTTGTACTTAAGTTGTCATCTATGCAGGCATTTAAATATATGTTGCTCTACAGGTAGTCCTTGACTTTTGACCACATTCTGAGACCAGAATTTATGTTGCTAAACAAAGTGAGTTATGCCCAATGTTATGAACTTTTTTACCACCGTGATTAAGCTAATCACTGCCGTGTTAAATCGTGTAGTATTTAAGCAAATCCAACTTTCTCCCAATGGTTTTGCTTGTCAAAAGTTGACTTGAAAGGTCACAATTGTATTTACAATTGTATTTACAATGATGCTACAGTCATTTTAAATATATTCTGTTGCCAATTGCCTACATGTGACTATGCTGAAATGGATCATGTAACTAGCTGAGATGGTTGTAAGTGTGAGGATTGATCATAAGTCACTTTTTTTAGTGCCACTGTAACATTGTAACTGTCACTAAATGGTTGGTTGTAAGTCAGACTAGCCATATTGGGTATAGCAATTGAAGGTCATTCATTTTAGCATTAATGGTTATGTAGCATGCATGTATATGTAGCTCCATCAAGAAATATAGCTTTAGATTGAAACAGCTTTTGAAAATACAAGATCTCAACTTATTCATCTGGAAAGAAATGTTAATCAAAGGAATTAATTTGTCACAGTGTAAATTTTTCAGATTTTATGTATTTTTGTTCATGGCTGTTTCTTCCAAATCATCTAATTTAGGCATCCACATTGGGAAGCAAGTTTAGTTTATATTAGCACTTCTTCCTGTATAGATTAGTATAAGATGGCAATATCAGTGGCTTATTTATATCTTTAAATAGGGTAATATAGTAATACGCTTTCAGGTTAATTCTAAATATATATTTCATTCTGTCAAAGCACAAGGATTATTATAATTTCAGGAAGTAAACAAGCCAATGTAAGTTATTATCCGGGAAACTGCTCAAAAACATTTTGTCATGGTTTTGTTTTATGAGGTGTCTCTAAATATCTGCAAAGACCCAGCACATGGATCAATCTGATATTAATGGAAGATCAGTCTGTGAGACCTTCACATTTCCACCTTGTGTTACAGTCCCATCAGATCAGTATGAAGTAATGCTATAGTCACAGACAAGCTGTATTTATTAATATGAGACCTTTAAGTACACTTAATTAAAAGGTTACCATAATTGAATGAGCATCATAAATCTATCTGTTCTCACATTTAAAAAATGAGATAACTTTTAGATAACATAAAATTGTTTATGAACAGCAACAGTGGTGGAACTCATCTCCAGGGGGGGATGAGTTTGCCTATCGAGATGAGGTGGACCGGTTGCTTTTGTGGTGTGGAGACAATAACTTGGTCCTCAACACCAATAGACCAAGGAGCTTATAGTGGACTATTGTGATGACCTGTAGTGTCTCAAAATAAGCCAAAACCCAAAACATACATTAAAGTCTGGTAATGCCTTCAACTTAACTTCACTGCTTTATTAGGCACAGTTTAAAGTCACAAAAGTAAATAATGAGGCAAAAGGAAACCAAAACAAACCGCATTGACGAGAGTTCTGAAGCAAGCCAAGATAATTAATCATACACTCCAGGAAGATAACTGAGAAGAGTCCATGGAAGAACGCCAACAAAGATAAACCTCTTTCAAAGGAAACACTAAACTTTGACTCCAGCAATTCTGACTATGCAGTTACAAACTTATATACACAGCTCCCAGCTGCAAGCCATGAGGAGGATCGTGGTAATCTCCTCCTGAGTAGACCTCGCTTTTCCCTGATCGTCTCCTCTCTGTGTGCCCTGGGATGGATAGGGGATGGGCCTGGATCCTCTTCTGATTGCTCATCCGGCCTCTGCTCTTCCCCAGCCTCCTCCACCACCTCTGGAGCCACACTCCCACTCCCTGTTGGCTGTTCCTCCTCTTCCTCAGAGTCAGTTTCCACCAGGGGCATGACAACTATAGAAGGAATAGACCAGACATCCCTTGCTTATCAATGGAGACCAAGTGGAACAAGTGGCCAGTTTTAAGTTTCTGGGTGTTACCATAAAAGAGGACCTGACCTGGGGTGCTCACATTGCAGTTCTGATCAAAAGGGCCCAGCAGATATTATACTACTTGAAACTTCTCAAAAAACAACAAATGAATGAAATACTGCTGGTGACCTTCTACCGCTGCACCATAGAGAGCATTTTAACATACTGCACCTCTGTATGGTTTGCCAATTGCACAGTGGCAGATAGGAAAGCACTCCAGAGGGTTAACATCACTGCCCAGAAGATCATTGGTTGCTCTGTCCCCTCTTTGGAACGGCTTTATAGCTCCTGCTGCCTTAAGAAAGTTCAAAACATTCTCAAAGATCCATCTCATCCTGGAAACCCTTTTTTTTTTTGAACTAGTACTATCTGGCAGATGGTACAGAATAATAAAAACAAGGACAAATAGGCCGAAAAACAGCTTCTATCCCAGGGCAGTAGCTCTTTTGAATTCTGCTGTATAGTGCAGTATTGGTGTGGTGTTGGGGATTTTCAGTTCAATGTGTGAAGAGTGAAGAATGTGTGTTTGTGTTTAGTTTCATGGTCATGGTCATGATGTGCACTGAAGATGGTGTTTGATTTTGTTGAATGAGGTGCAATGACAATAAACTAAACTAAACATACAGATTAAAAGAGGAACATGTTTTTAATTTCTCATTAAGTAAATTAAACAATGACAGAAAAAGAGAATGTTGAAATGAATCCATTTGAATATGTAACACTAACCATAATTACAGAAAAGGGAAAAAAATGAAACAAATTTCACATACCTTTATTTGTTTTTAGACATGCCTTCCTTTTGGTGCATATGCACCAAAGACAATATTTTTGTGTGTACAATCACACTTGGCCAATAAAGAATTCTATTTTTAAGACAAACCAGAACTAACTTGTACCTTAAAGGGAATACTTATTGAATAAATGTAATAAGAGATTATTAAAAACCTACAAATATTTTTTGAAAAATATAGTACATATTAATCTGCTTGTGTTCAATTTTAGCTTGGAGTCAACAGTGCAGTTTTCTTGTGATGAAGACTATGTGCTCCAGGGGGCAAAAAGCATAACCTGCCAAAGGATAGCAGAAGTTTTTGCCGCATGGAGTGATCACAGACCAGTGTGCAAAGGTAAAATATGAAAATCTGTATTCTTTCATGCCAGTTTTCTGCACTTGTTTCATCTTGCAATAAGAAGGATATCTTTAAAGCTGGGGCATTGAGAGGATGATTAAAAGTGAAAGGGGATACCATCTTGAATTTTCTGACACATATCCCAGTTTATGAAAGCACTCCTACGAAATTATAGTTGAAATAAATCCTTCTGTACTTTTGAGTGGTCAAAGTATCTTCACAACTTCAAATATTATGGTTTGATTTTGCCCAAACAAAACAAAAATAGAGGATTTGTTCCATTTTTGTTTCATTTGTATTGCTCATGTCTTCTAGGTATAAGGAATTTTGCAAGATGGTTAGTAGGTTTTCTTAGCTAGGTCATATAGTTAAGTAAATACCATCACATATCTTCTTTAGTGAAGAGACTCTATAGCTATAAGGGAGGCTGTGGAAAAAAAAGGTTTAACTTCAGATTTAATTCTAGAATTACTTCAATCCCTTCTGCTTTCCAAAGTTGGGATACAGTCAATGCATAATATCTCATTTCCAAACATTGATTTATTTCCCATTCCTACCTTAATCAGGGAGTCGCGGTGGTGCAGTGGTTAGAAAGCAATCTTGCAGGTTAACTCTGCCCACTGCCAGGAGTTCGATCCTGACCAGCTCAAGGTTGACACAGCCTTCCAACCTTCTGAGGTCGGTAAAATAAGGACCCAGATTTTGGAGGGTAATATGCTGACTCATGTGAGTTCAGAGAATACTGTAAAGTACTATGAAGCAGTATATAAGTCTAAATGCTATTGCTGTTCACATTTACAGTGACTAAATGGACATTCTTGGACATACTTTTTCAGAAATATATATTCTTTTAAAAATTCCAGTAAAAAAATAAATTTTTGCTTTTATGGTATGCTGGAGAATATACCCCACTTATTTTGTTATAAAAAAACTTCTTCCTTTTATTAAAAAAAAAACAGCAGGATTGATCTTAAAAGAAAACCAGTGAATCTTTGTTTAACCTGCATACACAAATTTATATTTTGTGCAATGCAGAGACCTTCATAATATGGTCCTCTTTAAACGTTCATTTTAAGATTTAACTTAACATAAAAATCATACTGTATTGATTCACTTACTGTATATAAATCAATAATACTTATGATAATTAGCAGCTATCTACCTATTTTTTTAAAAAATCTAAGAAATATAACTGTTAGAATATTTTTCAAATAACAACACCAAGAACATATACAAAAAATAGAAGCATGTTCTTGTGTGAAACATATCCTGTTTTTTTTCCTAATAAAAAGATAGTGTTCTTAAAATACAATTTTCCATGGTATTGACTTCTATTTATGCAGAAACAGGATTTTATTTTCCTGTGTTAAAACCTTGCAGGTTTATTAGAAACATGCTGTGTTCCTTAACACAATTCGTTTTTGTATGTTCAATAAATCCGTTCTAGTAAAAAATTATGGCTGTATAATACAGTGCTCATCAGTTACTTTTAAAATGATATAAAAACAAATTTTAAAAGAGTGGTAGCAGTTAATATTCTGAAGCACTATTTTATTATAAATACAGAATATTTCAGCTGTATGCTTGATTTTAGTTTATCATTTGATAACACATCCTGCTGTATTATTGCTTCTTTCATAGCACCCAACTGGCAGTTATAGGCCATGATTACAGATATTTTTAAAAACCTTCTATTAAGTCTCATATGTTCTAATCTTGTAAGAATGTTTTGTGTGAGCTCTTTACTTTTTATAGGACTGGATATTGATTTATTGTTTCTACAAATGATTATATATGGCATTCTGGAGTATGAGTGAATGATGCTTACAAAGATGGTTGATATACTAAAATGATAGGATGATATTTGTACTCATAGAGAGAATATATACATACATATATTCTCAAAGATGAATGAGAATACCAGGAAAGCTAAATAGAACAATTTTTATTATATATGAACATTACTGAAATTTGATTAGTGGTGTATAAAGTTATGTATTACTTGGTTTATCTAAGAGTAACTGAAGCCTTTGGCCATACAAAATTTTAATTCTACTTGAAGAACAGATTGACCCAACGTTTTAAGTATCTTGCTAACAATAGGTTTTGCAGACTGTTAGTAGAAAGTAACATTACAAGAATTTTTTTTTTTCCTATTACAAGCCTTGAGAAAGAATATACCAACTTTCAAACTAATCTCTATCTACTCATTATTGGAAAGTAAGTGGTGAGTTCTGAGATTTGAGCATTAGCAGTTTTCATTTAACCCATATATGGTGATGGGTTAAACCAGTTCTGTTCTGGGCTTTATAATGTTGAATTTTCCCATATTGGGGGAAAAATGACTTCAAAAGTCAAACAATAAATGTCAAAGACTCTTAAATCTCTTAAGACAAACCTACAAAAATGGGGCAATGTTTTTGAAGTTTTGTGGCATTCAGAATCTATTTTGATCATGCTTGCTGAAAACAGATAGCAAAATAACCTATGAAATGGAAAATATATGAACATTCACTCTAAAGAATTCAAATCACAATTCTGAGAGAAAGAAAGCAAGAAAAAGAGTTTCAAATATCCACTCAATGGCATGATATTCTCTTTCTAATTTACAGTTTTCAGCATTCTCTTCTACAACATTTTAACCTAACCTGAACCCCAAAAGTTTCTCCTTGCTTGCTCTGGCACCATAAAAGTACAAACAGTACCAGAAAAGAGTGGATTAATTTCTCCATTTTTGAAGCAAACTGCTGAAATCACTGAAACTGATATGCATTTCCCCCCTCTGGCTGAAACAAAGTATGGATTAATTCTTTTTTTTTTTTTTTTTTGAAGAAATTAGATTGCAGTGTTTTCAGGGCAGTAATTCTCACCACCATATTAGATCATCAAAGAGCTAATAACCAAATACGCTTAATGATTTGTTCAGTATTTTAGATTATATTTAAGAAATCAACTACATTGAGTAGTAATTGGGAGAAACAGGTGCTACTTATTATTTTCAGCTTGCTATCTCAATAGAAGAACATTGATTCTTGAGAGAAATGTATTGACTATGAAGGTCACTTTTAAAATTTTCTTGGCTTCAGTTTCTCCTTTTTCTTAGATCACAACAATGGAGTTTAAAGTCTATCTCTCCTTTGAGAAACATTATGATTTATTTTGAAGTTGATTTATTCAATTACGGAAGTTTGTTAGTAAAACTTTTGCATATGTATTTATTTTATAAACTTATACACACTTTCAAAAGAACATTATTCTTTAGCTCTGTTGAAACACATTTCCAAGTAAATGGGTGATCAATGTCCAGTGCAAACTTATTTATTTATAGTTATATCATCTGATTTATACTGGACCTTGGTATTCAACCTAATACACAATTGTTTCATTTTTTTAGAAAAGCAGAAACTATAGTTTCAGAATTGAAACAAGGATATTTTCTGGTTGTGCTGTTAAGGTATTGATTAGTTTACTTGAACAATTACTTTTCTAATTTCCTTAAAGTTGTACCCATATGTTTTAATATCCAAGAGTGCTAGTTGTCAAAAAACTGAAACTGTGGTATTTTACTTATTGATAAATATATTAATTTGATCGTAACTCTTCCACTCTGAAACTTGATATGTGTAGATGAAAGAGAGTTTGCATAATAATATCTCCCTTTTTAGATTGCTAGATGCAAATTGCTGGGAAAACAACAATAACCATACAATAAAGTGTGTAAAAGAAGGACAAGAGGAAAATGATGCTATATAACTTGAAAAAGTATGAACACTTTCAGAAGCATCCATCAACCCTATATTGCAGAATTATATCATATTCTATATTAAAACATAGGGCAAAAATAAAATAACAAGTGCAGAACATGTATTACATTTAATTTAATTTCAATTTTCATTTACTGCAGAGTTTGAAAGTTGTTCAAAGAAATTGGTTGGATTCACCAATTCTATAAAGTAAAGATGTAAAAGTGGGGGAGGGAATTCATCTTTAAAAAAAAGCTTGCACAGTTTTAGGAATTCAAAATTATGTTCTCTTCCCCACAAAAGTTTTAGAGTGCTAGTGATATATAAAGTACCAAAGATAGCAAGTTAAATTAATCATCCCTTCTATTTATAGAGATTTATTCTTTTCTGCAAGCGAAAGGGGGAGGAAAGCAATGTTAACAGATTATTATTGATTCTTCTTGCAGTTTCCCTTCTCGGCTGTATAAAAACATATTCAGTTCCAGAGATTACTTCAGATTTGGCAAGTGAACACTGGAAATATAAAAACTGCCTCTTTTTTTTTTTGCCTTGATCTCTCCACAAACAGGGCATCCTTAAGAAGAGAACAAAAAACAAAATTAGTGCAGTGGTAGCAACAGAAATGAATTAATGTTCCAAATTTTCACCATAAAAGCCAAAAACCCGGTTATTCATCATTTGAGTTCATTTCAGTTCAAAGGCATAAAAGTAAGAAAAAAAAGTAATACAGTGACTTTGGATATTAAAAAATATATATTAATGCCAACTCCCTCCTATCTACAATTAGGAGGTTAGATGTAGTGATGCTTGTGGTAATGAAACTTGAAATCTTCAAATATAAGAAGATAATTCTTTTGGACTCAGTGAACCAAAATTATTATCCTCTAGATTAGGCCTTTTCAAATCTGGCAACTTCTGGAAGTTGAAGTCCACATATCTTAACATTGCCAAGTTTGAAAAATAGTAATCTTGAATTAAAGCAGGTTTGAATAGCACAGCACAGCACAGCACAGCACAGCACAGCACAGCATAGCATAGCATAGCATAGCATAGCATAGCATAGAATAACAGAGTTGGAAGAGAAGGTTTGCATTCATATTGTTTGAAGCTTTCTACATGCAACAGCTACCAGAGAAACTTTTAAAAGATGTCTGCTTGTTATAGTTTCAATAACATGATATGTAGAAGCTTATAGAGTAAAGCCTATAAAATAATATTTTCCTTCATTGTAAGAATGTGAAATGAATAATTAATTACAGTACAGAGAACTGCATGTTCAGGGGATATATTGCTCCTCATGTTCTTCAAGTTTGCATTTTTTCCCAAACAACAAGAAGTGATTATCCCTAGACTTTTTGCATGTAACATTGAGTCAGTCTTGATTCCTGGGAATGGTTTGAACAAATCCCTGGACTTTTCTTGAAAAGATTTCAGAAATTGTTTACCATTGCTTTCTTCTTCCTAGGACCAAGCGTGACTGAGGGACACATTGACTTTGTACCTAAGACAGGACTAGAATTCATGCTCTCTGGCTTTCTAGCCTGATGCCTTAACCACTACACCAAACTGCTCTCTGTTATAAGATTAGATGTTTCTTACAAGATAGATTCTGTTTCTTATTTATCTTATTATCACATTCATCTAATAAATCAATTATATTGAGCTTTTTAATTATTCTGTATTTATTTTTAGTTAGTTCTGGTGTTTCTGTAGGGTATGGTCAAAGAAAAATCAAGATGGTATGCCCAATGGGGCAATTGAAGCAACTGAATTAATAAAACCATCTATTTCACTAATGTATCTGTGTATGACAACTGTTATCAAAGTTCACATTTATTGTGCTTCAAAAATGTAGATGACAACTATAAAATGTGTACATGTGTTTAATTGGAGTCCTGAAAGTAGAACAAAGTGTTATTCAATAAGCTTTTTATTAAGGGATTTAAGGGTATGCCACTGGAGCATTTATCCTTAACATATAAGGAATGAATCTGCAAAATCAAAGAAGAGTAACAGAACAGAATAATAGAATTGGAAGGGACATTTGAGATCCTCTAGTCCAACCACCTGCTCAAGTAGGACACCCTGTTCCATTTCAGACAAATAGTTGTCTCTTCTTAAAAACCTCCAGTGATGGGGCACTAACAACTTCTGAAGACAAGCCATTCTACTAATTAATTGGTCTTACTTTCAGGACATTTCTCCTTAGTTCTAGGCTGGTTTTCTCCATTACTTCTTCTCCTTCTAGTATTTTGGAAAATAGGTTGACTCCCTCTTCTTTGTGGCAGCCCCTCAAATATTGGAACACTGCTGTCATGTTATTACTAGTCCTTCTTTCCACTACATTAGATATACCCAATTCCTGCAATTGTTCTTTATATGTTTTAGCCTCCAGACCCCTAATCATTTTTGTTGCTCTAGTAGATATAAAAAAAATAATGGCTGAAGGAAAGTAGCTTCATACAATTATTTGGAAATGCTAACATTTTGGTTCATAACACTGGGCCTCATTTGTAGTTTTGTTTTTTATGCAGTCTAATTATGTTGCAGAATAACTACTTAAAATTTTCCCCCTAAAATTAGCTAGAAATATCAACACCATCTTTCATCTATCTCACCCGATACCTGTGCAAGAGTCTTTGCACTTTTGCTCCATTATACTTTCAGTATTTTGACTCCCTCTGCACTCTTTTTTTTAACAAAAAGAAATGTTAAAACATTTGATTTAATGCAAGAGAATCAGAATAATTTATGCTAAGGTTTTATATAAAACTGTATCTGTTTACCCTAACATGAGTTTCATTATTATATTTTTGGTGCTTAATCTCTGAACTCATACAATGTATTTTTTCCTTAATTAAAACCTGCCATTTCTCTATAATCTAGCAGATGGCAGTGACAAAAGTGATTATGGGACATGACTTTTGAATATATTACTTCATAAAATATCTTAAATGCTTTATAAATAGAAACAGCTGTCACATATGCATATAAAAAAATATTTCAGAAGAATATCTGAGTTTCCACTGTAGAATTTGGAATGAAATTTTGGTTCAAAGGTGTTCTATGAAATTTCTAAAATCTGTGTTTCTATTCAATATTTTTCTATAAAGAAGTTTATTGGCTTCAAGGTGTTAGTTACATGCACCATTAAGCACAAAGCATGAACATAAAACACCTTCTGTTCTCTGGCAGTAGTAAGCTACTTTTGAATAGTTTTCTTTTTTAAAATGTCAGAAATAACATATGGTAGTTAGTAGGGTTATCTGCATATAATTTTAACTGTTTTCTTACTAGTTTATTGACAATCTTACTGTGTTTACCAAAAGTCCACATCCCTTGCATGTTAAATGGCTCAGTGCTTAAGATGTTGGGTGTCAGCTTTGGAAGCCATTTTGAGATCAGATGCTCTCACACTGCCATATTTGAGCCTGGGAAAGTGGGACAAATGGTGATTTGGGCCATGTGATGTGATGAGGGTGCAGGGGATGGATTTGTAGTTTGTAGTTATTGTAAGGAAGCCCAGAACTTTCAGATTCGGGATTCCCTAGTTGTGCCAGTTACTACCCAAATAAAAAGCAACCTTTGAGAAGATGTCCATCTTGGAGTTATTGGGTAGGATGGAGGGTTGCTGGAATGCTGACCCTGGGCTTATTGGCTGAAAAGCTGGCAGTCCAGGTTCGAGATCCAAACCCCACAAAATGGGTGAACTCCCATCTTCAGCCCAACTCCTGCCAGCCTAGCAGTTTGAAACTATGTAAACACAAGTAGATAAATAGGTACCACTTTGATGGGAAGGTAACAGAGCTTTATGACATCATGCTGCCCACATAACCACTGAAATGTCTTCCGACAGCACTAGCTCAATGGCAGTGAAATTGAGATGAGCACTCCCACCTATAGTCAGCAATGACTAGCAGAGTAAAATCTCAGGGACTCCTTGAATTTTAAAGCATATAATTAAGACATATTAAAAACTTAGCTGGTTTCAATGTCTGGTTTTCCCATTTGTTTGGTCTTCTCCATATTAAGTTTCTACTTTTACAGCAGTTGCATCATTCTCACATGGATATGTTCCTAAGTTCAAGCCATTAATTGGATGCCATTACAGTCTTTTTAGTTATTTATTACAGTGAGAGGTCTGAAATTATTTCACTTTTAGTTTGAGTACCAAGGACATCACTGTATATGTTTATAAGTGAATCTTGATGGTTTATGCAATCAATTAGAAAGGATAATTTAGGTTACTGATTCCAATATCTCACTTCTCTCATTAGTGGACAATCACTTAAATATGAACCAGCAGTGTGTAACAGCAGTCAAAAAAAAGCCAATGCAATCTTAGATTGCACTAACAGAGGGACAGAATTGAGATCACATGAAGTTCCAGTACTGTTTTATAAAATCTTAATAAGACAATTACTTAGAATACAAATTATAAGCAAGAAGGATCACCATATTATAAAAAAAAAGATGTAGAGACTCTGAAAGAGTGCAGAAAAGAACAACAAAAGTGATTAGGAGTCTGGAGGCTGAGACATACTGTGTGAAGAACATTGCAGGAATTGGGTTTGTCTAGTCTAATGAAATAAAGAACTAGGGGTGACATGATAGCAGTGTTCCAATATTTGTAGAGTGCCACAAAGACAAGGTGGTCAACATATTTTTCAAAGCACCAGAAAACAAGCCACGAATTAATGGATGGAAATTAATCAAGGAGAAAAGCAACCTAGAACTAATGAGAAATTTCCTAATAGGGAGAACAATTTGTCTTCAGAAGTTGTGGGTGCTCCATCACTGGAGTTTTTAAGAAGAGATTGGACAGCCATCTGTCTGAAATGGTATAGGGTCACTTGCTTGAACAAGACCTCCAAGGTCCCTTCCAACTCTGTTATTGTATTCTGTTCTGTTCAGTTCTGTTCATCTTCTCTAGCTTCTGGAATTCATGAGTATACATAGCCATAATCCTATAATTAACAGTGCTTGGATTATATATAGAAGTATATGAATAACTCTTTTTTTTTTTTAGAATCTCTTTCTATTCAAAATGTGCCAAGTGGCCCAACTAAGGTTTTGCTACAAACTTATATTGCATTTTTTTCAGCTATAGTCATTCTGACTGATGCAAAATATTTTGTTTTCGTTCTCCCCATCCACTTCAGGCAGGAGCATATTTTGAAAAAAAAAATATTGTTGGGGAAATGTGTGGATATTGCTTTTATAGACAGTGTAATAAATGTGTTTTATTGTGAAAGCATTTCTTCGATAGATAAGGGACTGTTTGAGTAAGTCCTGATGAATCCATGATTGGATCTTCACAATTAGTATCTGAATTTCACCTTGCCCAATTGTGCAACTCCTTAAACATTTTAAGACATGTGAGATGAATGCAAACAAAAATGTAATTAAGACCTCATTTGGAATATAACACCGATTCTTTCTTTTGCAGTAAAGACATGTGGATCTAATCTTCAAGGACCGGGCGGCACTTTCACATCCCCCAATTTTCCTTTCCAGTATGACAGCAATGCTCAGTGTGTTTGGGTTATCACAGCCATCAATCCAAATAAGGTATGTTTACCTGTGAGAGCGTTTTAAGCACAGTATCAAATGATAAATTAGAAAATCAATACGAAGTCAGAAAGAAAGTTAGAAAGATTAGTTCATTTGAAACAATGTGTGTGGGCATTGGAGTGGTGCAGTGTTTTGGAGTTAAATGGATACTTCAGAGTACTGATATAACATTGATTGGCAATTGATTAAAGAAACTGCATCTTTCCCCAGAATTACCCTTTTACCCTCCACAACTACTGGATAATGTATGGGAAAAAAGAATGCACTTGGTTTTATGACGCTACCAAAAAAAAAAAAAAAAAAAAGGCCAAGTTGTCCTGGACAAACTTGAGATTGATGCAGACAATAAGATCTGCAATTACAAGCTTGAGAGCTTTTTTTTTTTTTTTTTGGATGTACTGTAAATCCTGAGGCAGCAATTAGTGCTTGCCATTTCTTCAAAGAGCAAGCATATTCAATCAGATTTAAAAAAAGAAGTTGTAATCATGCCAAGTTCTGCAAGTTGCTAGCCAGGCAAGTTTGACGTCAGAAATTTTGAGGAGACTAGCTCAGGAGACTAGCTCAAGGCGCTCCTTATGTCAGGTGCTAGAACATTTCACCAATGACTGTCCAAAAGCCAAGTCTAAGGTCTCATTAGAAGACAAGGAGAAGGAGGTACCTGAAGCAATGTGTCACAGGAAAATAGGTCTGGAAGATGAGAATTGCTTTCAAAAAGGAAATCTCTTGAGTACCCAGAATCCATGTTCTTCTTACAGGAGTTAATAATCATTCCTCTTAAGGAGCTGGGTCAACCTTCACTGCTCAGACCTTTTTAACCTGACAATGTGATAAAGTATGATTTAGGGCTTGGCACTTTCACAAGGTCAGACCATAAGATCTTAGAATCTATGGCCTCCTGTATTAACTCAGACTCATCATTTACAACTGTGACAAATCTCTTGAACTACAAGCTATGTGTTCACAACATCCTCTTATTCAGGATCCACATTAAAGACTCAGAAACATCCATATCACAAGCACACTCAAATATGATTTGAAATACCTTTGTCCCTTCAAATGCAAGCCGCAACTTGTTCAAATGTTTGAGAAATGCTGAACATCTATTGAATTCTGCAGGATTGTTGTGGAGTCTGTTATAATCATGTCAAGGTGAAATATAGTAAGATATCACTCTTTCTTATGGATTTATCTTCAGTCCACCTTCTTTAGCATATCACTAGAGGTAGTAATTTTCCATATATATATATATATATA